CCCACCCGCAACTAATAGGTATCCTTCAAGACTCAGCTCTAACATTGCCACCTTTATGTAGTTTCCCCAAATCCTCCAGAGTGAGGCTTCATTGTTTCTTTTAGTGCTGTAGTAGCATCAATAGCATTTGCAACTCTCCTCTCCACAACTGTGAGTTCATTGGAGGCACAATCATCTCTGAAGTAACTGCTGCATGAAAGCTTAATAAAATGATTCCTAAATTAATACAACCACCATTTATTAAACAAATGTACTGTCTACTATGAAATAAGTATTGAAGGCTTTGAGATAATTTGTATAGCTCACTGGATGATGGAGACAACAGACACAGAAACAAATAAAATACAGTGTTATAAATAATAATATTTTTCTGTCTGTGGGTACAGCTACAGTTCCCACTTTCTGTTTCTTCTTCCAGAATGCTCCTCACCCTGCCCCCCACCCCCGTTTTCTCACTACTGACTCCTCATCCTTTGAGGTCTCAGCTAAAATGTCCCCTCCTCTGAAAGATACACTTTTCTTCTATCAGATAAATTATCTGAAGTAGTCAACAGCCAGCTTCCTCCATAAACACATCGGAAGACACTAACCAATAAAATATGTCAACCATGGTGGGATGTATGTGACCACGTGATTATCTTACATAGGCCATAGTGGCCATTTTGCTGGAATTGCTCACTCTCTCCCTTGCTGGCTTTGAGGAAACAAGTGGCCATACTGGGGAACCCCACATGGCAAGAAACTACAGGTAGCCTGTCAGAGCGAAAGCTGGCCTCCAACCCACAGCCTGCAAGAAACCAAATCCCTCAGTCCTACAGTTGCAAGAAACTGAATTCTGCCAACAGCCTGAGTGAGATATCCTTCCCCAGTGGAACCTCAGATGAAACCACAGTCCTGGCCAAAGTCTTTTTTTTAATCCTCACCTAAGGATATTTTTTCCAATGCTTTTCAAAGAGTAGAAGTGAGAGAGAGAGTGAGAGAGAAACATCTATGTGAGAGAGACACACTGATTGGTTGTCTACAGCCCACACCCCACCTGCAACCAAGGTTCTGCCCTTGGCCGGAAGCAAACCCAGGAGCCTTTAGTCTGAGGGCCGACACTCTGACTAAACCACTGAGTCACACCAGCCAGGGCTCAACCAAAATCTTGGTTGCAGTCTTGTGAGACCCTAATCAGAGGGACCACTTAAACCATAGAAACTGTGAGTTATATTAAAGTGTATTAAGATGTATAAAGGTATATCATCACGAGGTTTGTGGTACTATTGTTACACAGCAAGAAATGACTAATATGCAGTCTGTATGGAATTAGGTTCTGTGTCTTTTAGTTTACTACTATAGAAGAAATTTTGATATTAGAGAGGGGTGCGAGTTAATAAAATTTCATTAAACTGAAATTTATTCTTTGCCATGTTGGGAGATGGTTCTCCATGGGTCTCTCAAGTTTCTGTTTGTCTCTTATCTTAAATAAGCGGAGAAACAAAAAGAAAAAGTTGTGCTGGGCAGGGAGGGCACAGTCTCCCTTTGTTCCTTTGTTTGTGTAGGAGACAACCTTGGACAACAGAGAGTATATGCCTTTAGAGCAAAGGACAGGCTGCTTACAGCCTCAGGAGTCAGCTAGTGTCCTCCTTTGAGCAAAGGGCAGGCTTTCTTACTGCTGCTGGTCATTAAAGATTTGGGTTTCCTAAGCTCACTGTTCCTTTCTTGTGATGCAACCTGTGTGTAAGCAGATGTCACCCAGCCTTCACATCACATTGTGGGAACTGCAGCTCAGGGAACTGGTACAAAAATGCTGCTACTTTGCTGCTACTGTGGTAAGTAATGAATTATCCTTTCTCTCTGCCCCAGCAGTTTGCTGGCTTCTACCAGTATTCATGGAACTGTGGCAGGCAAAAAGGGTGAAACTTCAGACCTTTCAGAGTTCTTGAAAAACTATAGAGAATGATGTACAGCACATACTGAACTGTGAATATTGGAAAACATTTTTTAAAATAGAGGCAGAATTTTATACTACTGTACAAAATTACCTCTGACCCTGTTAACCTGGCATGTGAGAGTTCAAGCCTTGTAATTCTCCCCTCTCAGCACAGGGTGTCACTCCTTCTCTTCCAATCTCAACAACCCACCCTTACTTGATAGAGTCCCCACATCTGAGATTAGTTAGGCATAAAAATAGCTCAGAATACCTTTATCGTAGACGGATTTTGGAAAGTATTTCCTTAGTGGGATGTTACATTTCCATGGCTGTCATCCCATCCACAGAATGACTGCTTGGTACCATTCATAGCTAATGTCCCCATTCAGTACCATATAATAACATGACTGTACTAAGAAAAAGTCCATTACAGTCACCATTTCAATTCTTGCTGCCAACTGAGTTAGCAATTATAGCAATAGCAAAGAGCCCCAGTGGCTTAAAATAACAGAGTATTGCTAGTTAAAATCAGACTTGAGGTTTTTTACACATAGGAAATGTTAAATTAATTTAAAATGTCTTCTCTGTTGTATTATTGTTACTTTCTATAAGTTCCTTGACTATTCTAGACATTAATCCCTTGTTGGATTTAGATACTTCAATTTTTTTTTTACCACTTTTGTCATCTATTTGTTAATTTTGTCTATAGTGTCTTTAAAAAGATAAACTGAGGCATATTAAAAAACGTTTGAGTTTATTTGAAGAAAATTTGATTCAGTGGCAAACCAGAAGTGGTTAGGAACATGTCACAGACAGGGGCTTGGGGAAATTCTTTTGTATAGAAAAGGCAGAAGAAAAGTAAGGAAATTATTGCTTGGCTACAGCTTATAGCCCAGTTGGCTGGTTGTGACTGCTAATTTTCCTTAGCATTTTGGTTTTGAAACCTGAAGGCATTTATAGACTTTGATTTGGGTTAGAGCACATCAGTTTAATGGCCTCCTTCTTTATTTTGATGTAATTAACTTCATCCATTTTTTTACTTGCAATTTGTGTTTTTGAACTGTTGTAAAATAGGTTGTTCTTCACCATGGGTGTAAAGGTAGTCTCTTCTACTATCTTCTATCAGTTTCTTAGTTTGACCTTTCACATGCAGACCTTTAATGCATCCAGTGCCCCTCTTTTGATGTGATGTTTAATTTTCTCCAGTTTATTTTCTTTTCCCTATTGATTTGTTGACCTGTGTTATTGTACATTATGTTTCCAAGTGAAGCTGATGTTGCTAGTCCAAGAAACACTGTTTGAGTGGCAAGATACTCAATAATAGGAGTGAACACCTAGTTGAAAGAACTGATGATAGTAGATAAGGGTGAATTTAGGAGAACATAAGGGCAATGTGTCGTATTATTAAACATACCAATCCATAATGAGGTAAAAATCATGCTCATTAGAAGTTTTTAGATGACAAAATGGGGATGGTTTTAGTAACTTGGAAAATACGAATATAGAAACTACTCCCATTCAGGACCCGTTCAGACCACCTATGGATTCCCAGAGCTAAATCTATGAAATACAGAAACAAACCTTTGTTCAGTGATATTGAGAGCATGATTACCCAAAATATCAGGTAGCTATTTGAACAATGCCACGAAGTCCTGCTTTAAAAAAATAAGTTCATTCCCTTTGTCCAACAATTCTCCAGAGGAAAAAAAGCAATGGGTATGTACATCCTATTGCAAATAATGTAGGCACCAGTTTTCTTATCTACCTAACTGAATTCAAGAAATGTCAAGGAAAGGCATTTTTCAATTTTATAAACCAGTGTACTTGCCCTGATTAAACAATTCATACTAAAATCAAATCAGTAGGAGGGAGCTATAGACACCAATTAGCTGCGGGTTTAAAGTGTATGGGGTGAGGCATGGGCGGCAGGGGAATTTTTTCCCCCATACTGTGGAATTTCATTGTTGGATGTCTTTGCTACTCATTTTTAACTAGGTCAATGCAAGACAGGGAGAGGGGCAGGAAGAAGGCAGCGCCACCCTGAAGTGCAGAGAACTAGCCTGTTACTCAAGGGGGGCCGGCTTTCAATAGTGGGTTCTCTTGTTTAGCATAGACAAGTCGTTTCACTAGAGGTTCAGTTCTCGACATGTGCAGTAGGCGTAGGGCTTGAGAGGCGTCTGATCGCTGTGCGCTCCACGGTTGCGGTCACAAAACTCTTCTCGCCCTTTCACCTACCCTCTCCGCGCCTGCGCCAAAGACGCGCCCTCCGAGGGCCTCTGGCCGCTTCTGCGCACGCGCCCTTTTTATCCTTCCTCTCCCAAGTCCACTAGTCGGAGAGAAGCAGGACTTCCGGTCCTTTCTAGACCGGATGCCGGAAGTGACTGCGTGCGAATCGGCGCGTTTGGAGGCCGGGAGAGCTGAGGTACCTGTGCTAGCAGCTGCTTTCAGCCTGCAAGATGCCGGGTCTGGCGGCCGCAAGCCCTGCTCCTTCTGAGACGCAGGAGAAGAAGCCGTTGAAGCCATGCTGCGCCTGCCCGGAGACCAAGAAGGCGCGCGATGCGTGGTCAGTGCGCAGCCTGGGATGGGCAGGCGGCGGGCCCTGCGCCTCCTGCCGGCGCCTTGGCCCCCTGCTCCGCCTTGGGCGGGTCTAGGCCCTCGCTTTGCTGAGCGATGCTCTTTGGGGTGTTAGGGCCCCGCAGGCTTTCCTGTCGTCTGCGTTGCTGACAGCTCTCTGCTCGGGCGGGAAACGGATGAAGGGAGTGGAGAGAGGTCAGACTGACCGAGCTCGCTTCATACACTCGTTTCTTCCTATGAAGGGTGTTTGAACATAACCTTAGTTCGAAAGATGTAGGAAAGGATGGATTTGCTACTTGATTTCAAGAAGCTTTAAGTTAATGGAGACATATATACTAGTAATTGCTAGGCCACGTGGTATGGGCTGTTACAGAAGATTTATTTAGCCAGACCAAAGAGTAGAAATATTCTGGGAACGCCTACCAAAATTTAGGCATAGTAGGACACAGGGTACCTGTCTTACAGTACTCAAGCGTTTACCCCCTCCCTTAGGTAGCTAATTTAAAAAGCAACAGTTTAGGAATGTTAGGTGACATTGTGTTCGGAATAGTACATCTAGATTACCGTCAATTGCTTCAGACCACTGTGGCTTCTCCCCAAAAACAGAGAGTAAGGAGTTAGTTATCTGATTCTTTGCCCCAAATAAGCTGTATGGTCCTAGTCTTTAATATGTGGATTTTAAAATGAAAAGTTCTTTGATTATCATGAGGGGTGCTCTTGCCTGCCAGTTTTTGCTGTTTATATTGTTGGGTGTCTTCTGATTAGAAGTAGATTTATTTAGATGTATCTTTATATAGGGCGGAATAAAAAATTTAATTCCTCTGTGATAGCAGGCAAAAAATTAAGTTCTCTCTGTCCTATGTTTAATGTAAATAGTTTATTATAAAGCAGTATTATTCCTTGGACTAGAGGCAATATTTGATTTGCATACTTATTACTTCTAGTCAGACCCCCCCCCAAATTAGTTACCTGTGAAACATCTTTATGAGCATGGTCATATCACAGGAGCCCCCCCTTCCCCTCCAAAAAAGCCATTTGATGTATTAGCATTTTTTTTAACTCAGGCTACATTCCATCAGACCTGTATTCTACCTCACTTCACATCACTACTATGCATGCTTATTTACTGCTAATATGCCTACTTTGTTAGATAATAAGTACATTTTGTTTTGTAGCATCATTGAGAAAGGAGAAGAGCACTGTGGACACCTAATTGAGGCCCACAAGGAGTGCATGAGAGCCCTGGGATTTAAGATATGAAATGGTGAGCATGGTACTCTGATTGGGAAGGTAATACATAGGCTCATTGCTTCAAATTTCTCCATTACTTTACAGATTTAGTTAGCAGTGATTGGGCAGCATTCTTTCTGAAAGGTAGTTCACCTGGTTAATCTAACATGCTGAAATATCACTAAAAAATAACTTTTCAGTTTTTAATGTAGGAAGTAAGTGATGCTAATAAATTGGGAGACATTTGGTGGATTTAGGAAGGGGGGAATTTAACTTTCAAGAAAGGGCTTGACAAAAACATTTAGACTTATGTTAGAGTCAGAAGGAATCATGGCTTAGGAAGTTCATAATATTCTGTTGTGTAACTTAAAGGAACTAAAAGGAAAACATTCTCTGTTCCTTGTTTCTAATGTGGGTCTTCAGTAAGTGCTTTTAATCAAGGAGTAGGTAATACACAAAGCATTACTTTCTGCAAAACAATGGAATTTTTGCTATTTCTTTTTTGTACTGTACTTTATTCTAATAAAGTTCTAATAATTAAAACCTCAGACCATTTTTTGAAGAACTTTGAATCTAAATTTTAATGCTGAACTGGACTTGAATAAATGATTTTCTTTTGTTTGGAAGCTCTTCCTTCAGGTAGCAACTTGACTCACTCCCTCACTTCATTCAGGTCTCTGTTCAAAACCCTCCTTATTGGAGAGGCTTTCCCTCAACATTCTATCTAAAATAGCATCCTTTCCCCATCACCATATCCCAGCTCTGTCCAATAGAACTTTCTGTGATAATGAAAGTGCTCTGCATTTGCACTCTCTAGTATGGTAGCCACTAGCCATATGTGCTGTTGAGTTAGTAAATGTGAGTTAGTAAAACTGAGGAACTGTATTTTTAGTTTTATTTAATAGCCACATGTGGCTAGTAGCTACTTTATTCTTAACACCATTGCCTGCATATTATGTATTTATTTATCAACTTCTTTGTTTTACTCCAACTAGAATGTAATCTTTGAGACAGTAGGAATTTTCTGTTTCACTCACTGTCACATCCCCAGTAGCTGTAATAGTACCTGGCACATAATAGGTGTTCATTAGAGGATTGATGTTAAATGAATAAATAAATGAGGAAGCTAAGTCCTATAAGTATGAGGATAAGAACTGGAACCTGTCTCCAGGCAGACTCCCTCTGCTTTGTGTCCCCACCCCTGCCTTTGCCCCCCACCCCTCCCATACACATCACACTGCCACTTTTAACTTAATAATAGTGAGAGATAATGTCAAAGCCACATACCAATATAACAGTAATAGAGAGCCTGGCTTCTTTCCCTTTCACCTCCGTCCGGCCTCTTTGGAATTTCACATGTGACCAGTGTTCCTCATTGAGCTGTAAAAAAGGAGGGGTAAGGAACTTGTCCTGAGCTGATAAGAAGTACCACTGTATAGTGGAAATAGTCTGGGCTGAAAGTCCTCAGGCTTAATTTTGGTTCTCCTAATGTCTAGTTTAGCATGTGTTTTACTTCAGCTATGTTTAATGTTCATCAAGACATTAATCCTCTCTGGACTTTACTTTTATTTATAAAAAGAGGACGATAAGTTTTGTGATTTAAATAAGTTATGGTATATCTACTCTATATACATGAGATACTTAAGTGGCTTTTAGACTAGATGGTCATGGTGAATCATTTTGTAAAATATGTAAATTTGGGTAGGGGCCTGTGTTCTTAAAAAGTATAAATATACCTATTGATTATGTTTAAAGACATGGAATCTCAACATTTTTACATGGTTTTCTTGTTAGTATATGCAGGTCCAGGGGAGAGCCCTGAGACTGAAAATATACCTCCCTAAGTGGAGGGCAAGGAAACACCAAAGAGGTTGGCCAATCCAATCTGGTAATTATTGGTGTTTATTAAGGGAAAGGTATACAAGGACTCTCTTGGGCTGCTGCAAGACGAAATAGATCCCTGCACCCCTTGACAGGCACCAGAAAATTGTATAGAGTAAACGGAGGGTAGGCACAGGTACTAGTATGTGAATGCTACCAGCTCAGGACAACAACCTGTTTCAGAAACCAGCACATAGGAGGCAAGGGAGGGGTGCTGGTTTATGTCAGAATGAACATTAATTAAGATCAATCATTCTCTAAGGGGGGCAGTTGCAGAAAGCAACTGCTTTTCTGGCCCAGCTCTAGCTTGCGGGACAGATAATGTTCACATCATGGAACAGACTCTCCTCCGCACTTGGTCATAATCTAACATAACTGGCTTCCTAGTCAGTTCTGTAAGCTGTTGGGTAGGGTCAAGCCTGCCTTAATAAAAGGGTGATTTTTTTAAATGATAATTTTAGGAGCATCAAAAGCTTCTCTTGGACTTCGTGTGGATTGCAAAGGTAGTAGAACTGTTATAAGTAGTATATATTCACAAGGACCAGAAAGATATCATAGTTTTCTTATGTAATTGAGAGAGTGAGAGTGATTCCTATGTTCTTCATTTGTCTATAAAAGAATGCAAGAGCTTTGGACTTAGAAGACATTGTGTTTAACTGATTGTGTAGTCTTAGGCAAGTCCTTAACTTTCTGAACCTTAGTTTCCTCATCTGTAAAGCAAAGATAATAATACATGACCAAACTACTTCATAGAGTCATCGTGATGATTAAACGATATATGTATGAATAGGCTTTGTAAACTGTCAAATAGAAACCAGAAAGGTATATCCCATATCTTGGGAGCTGTGGATAGTGGACATTCAGTTGAGGTCTGTTGAATATATGACCTAATAATTTACTTTTGAATTCTGGTTAGGAGAATAATCTGAATTCAGAAGAGGACCCTTCTAAGGATTTTTGAAAGAGGAACAGGTGTCCTGTTTCCCTAATCCCCAGGGGGAAATGGAGGAACAGTGGAACAGTGATGTCAAAAAGACTTACTGAAGTTGAGTGGATAGATGGTAGAATTAAAACTAGAGTCCAGGTCTATTTTTTTTTAAATTTTTATCCTCAGTCCAGGATATTTTTCCATTGATTTGAGAGAGAGAGAAGGGGTTCAGGGGGAGAAACATCTATCCGTTGCCTCCTGTACACACCCCAACTGGGGATCAAACCCAAAACCTTTTTGGTGTATAGGATGACGCTCCAACTAACTGTAAAGTGCCTGGCAGGGCACTTTACACTTCACTCCTTGCACTTAATGAGGTTTTATTGCCAACATGCTCATTTTTAGGATTGCACATAGTCTTGATTTATAATCTGAAAACTTTATTATGAATGCTAATTAGAAAGGACTATTGTTGAAATGCATAGCTATATAAATAACTCAGTAACCAGGTCATTGGCTGTAGGGTAAAATTGATATCTCTCAGACTGTTGGGCCACATTTTTCTGAGGATAGCTTCAAAGGAAAAATATTTTGCAAACTTAGGTCTTTCCAGTAACGATTATGAAAGTTCCAAATGCAAAAACCTTTGTAGATATTGTTATTTCCTAAATAGATAGGTCTTAAATTGTACCTTGAAATTAGTAGGTTGGGACTTAATATAATCGTAGGCCGCATTCAGTCTGAGGTGTACCTTGTAATCACCTGAGAAATATTTTCCAAAACTCACAACCTTGGGCCCTGATCTGTACTTGTTGACTCAGAAACTCTTAGATGATTTTCAAGTGTGCCCCTCTTTAAGAATCAGTGGCTTAAGCTGAAAGGATGATTCTAAATATAGACCATTGAAAGACTTAATAGTATCGAAGGCAGAGACTTGAAAACTACTACTAAGAAAAATTAGGTGTGTGATGGTGATTCTAAACATTTTCTTCTGTCTTATGACTGCTTTTATTGAAAGAGAAACTAGGGAAACCTAGAACCTGCTAAAAATGTGAAGAGGAAATAGCAGCTGGTATTTTTCTGCCTTTAGGATTCAGAAGGAACCTGGAGAACTCATTTTGGGAGTGAAAATCATTGAAAGAAATTTGAGGACTACACTTAGTGGTGGTGATAATCAGTATTTATTAAGTTTAACTGAACTTAATAATAGGTTGAAATATGCTTAAAATATGTTGATTTCACACACACAAGCAACTGGTAATGTATGAAAACACGATCCCGAGAAAATCCAGGAGAAGGGTTATTTATTCAATAGATATTTATTGTTTAAGACCCTAAAAATGCCAAGATGAGAAGGACAGGATCTCTTCTGTCAAGAACTTTACACCCAGAGATATAACCTAGAGGTTTACACAGAGACTTTCAGATATATATATATATATATATATGATGTACAGTCAGTAGCAAAAGGTAACTATTTGCTTGAAATGCTGAGTGGCTTTATTTTTGGTGATCTTTCCTGCTCAAACCTTTTCTTTAACTGTATTTTTTCTTTGTGCCTTTTAGAACACAGAAAGTTTAGATGTTTTATTGTTATGAGGCTTATTTTTTCTAAACCAAATATAGGGAATAGCTAGATGAGGGAAGCACTTGCATTAGACTTGAAGAGTTGGCTAGCCCAAATGACTTAGTTACCATTTTAGCATTGTTCTCTGTTTTCTGGGATAGGGACTGGGGGTTGGGTTGAGGGTGAGAGGGGAGGTGGATGGGAGCTGTCTGGAGCAAAGCCTAGTACTGCCTGACTAGACCTGGTAACCCTGTCCTCTGCTACTCTCCCTTTTTGATCTTTACAAATGAGTTTCAAAAGGGTTACTTTTATTTTGCCCTTGAGATGAAGTGAGTAACTTTCCAGAGGAAGTGACTTGTGTGTAGAGCTGGCCTTCTGCCTTACGTCATACACCTTTGCCAAACGTACTTGAATCGGCAGGGAGGGGTTTGCACATCTCTTTTGAGTATCTAAAAATAAACTGCCTTAGCCTTTTTGGGGAAGATATTTTTGAGAAAATACATAGTATTACTTCAACAAAGACTTCTGAAGATTAAACAATGTGATGGATCGAACAGTTTCAGTAATGTTTTTAGTTAGACAAAACTAGAATTTTAGAATATGGGTGTTTTATTTCATGAATGGTTTAGAATAATTGTGGCAGTTAGTTGATTATACTTGGCTGAGGCACTCATTTCTAGTGGTCTTAATTTCCTAACTCCATAGGTCTGGCATGATTTTTGAAATTTGACTTTCTAAAATCTTTTTCTGTAGGTGGTCTGCTCTGTGAATGACTAATTCCTGAAGAATGAAGATAATTTGATAATTTGGGGAGTTCTTTATTGAACTTTGATAAATGGAAAAAGAATTTATAATTTATTAAAGAAAAAAAGGAAATTCCTTTGTCAAAAGTCTTTAGGTGTGTTTCTTTTTTGTGTCCTCACATCCTCACACAACATTCATTCATTCATTCATTCATTCATTCATTCATTTTTCTTAATATATAGAATAAATATATAGAATAAATAATGTAAATTTCTCATGTCATTCTGGGAACTCTGGGTATTTGTTGTAAGGAGAAAGCAAATATTGATCTCATCCAATTAAATCTCCAAAATCAGGTGCATGGAAGTAAGAAATAACTCTTTACCAATTTGGCATGAGTATGGTAGCCATGTCATCTCACTTAAGGTTCTTTTTGTTATATTTTTAACTTTCTTAAAGAACTAGACAAGCCTTCAGTCTCAATATTTTAAATTCATATTGTTGTTCATTTAAAAAAGTAATTTTAAATTTTGGACCACATTAAGGTGCCTTGGCTTGGAAGATCTCAACTGTTTGGCATAATTAATCTGTAGGTGGCTAGTTACATTTTAGAATAGACTAAGATCCTAAGGTTAATGCCTAGGGGCCAGCGAGAATTGTCTCATTAATTAGAGCCCAGGCCAGAGGCTGAATTATTACAAATAAATCACTAATAAAATAGCTCTACTCTCTGTGTAGTGATACCTGGAATAAAACAGAGTATGGTTCACTAACCCTGTGCTCCTGTTAGTTGCTTAAGGGCTGATGAAGCAATTGCTCATATTCTGCCTTTAACTAAATTGAGTTTCGGATCTCAACAAAAGATACTGAGGAACATAAGTAAGAGAATATATACTGTTTATACGTCACTGTGTGATGGGAAAGTTGCCTATCTTATAAAATAAAGGAGCTGAATTAAGTTATTTCTTAGGATTCATTCCTATTAATTACGAGCATGGCCTTGAAGTGTGACAGCCTTAGCTTCAACAGCTGCCTGTGTGACCTCAAGCAAGTTATAACCTCTTTGGGTCTGTTTTTCTCATCTGAAAGGAAAAAGAAGCAAGGATGGTAGTAATACCTAATTTACAAAATTATGAGTACTAATTAAAATAGTGTCTATAAAGCATTTGGCACAGTATCTAGCATTTAGTGTTACTGACATTCTGTGATTCTGTATGCATATTTTCACTTGAATATTTGACTAAATACTTTAGTAAGTACTTNCATTCTGTGATTCTGTATGCATATTTTCACTTGAATATTTGACTAAATACTTTAGTAAGTATAGTTTTTAGAGCATTCTTCTAGGTGAAGAATAGAATCTTGGACTCCTAAGACAGATATGAACCAACTTTTCACCCAGTACAGATCCCTGGAAGGTGATTGTCCAGATTCTGCCTGAATATATCCTGGGATTACGGAAATTAATATCCTTATCACTTAATGTTAAAAGTTTTTAAAAAATATATTTTGTTTTTATTGATTTCAGAAAGAGGAAAGGAGAGAGAGAGAGAGAAACATCAGTGATGACAGTCATCATTGATCCGCCTCCTGCTCAACCCCTGCTGGGGATCGAGCCCACAACCCGGCATGTGCTCTGATGGAATTGAACCTCAGTCTCCTGGATCATAGGTTGATGCTCAACTGCTGAGCAATGCCGGCCAGGCCTTGTTAATTTTTGATATAAGCTGTTCCATACTTTTCATATGCATTTATATATTTTTTTAAACAAAAAGGTCAGTTTTCTATGCTATGTAGTTTTAATGAGATCATAATAGTAATTGCCTTTTGCCTTTCATATATTTTACCATCAGTGAGTAGTTCTACAGTGTGATTTGTATTGGCTATGTATAAGTCCATTCTGTGGCTTATTTACCAATTCCCTATTTTTTGTACATTTATTTATTAAATGTTTTATAGAATGCCTGCTCTATGGTAGATACCATTCTAGGAATTGGGTCTTAGTCTTGAGTAGGATACATACCAGATGCCTAAATTATTTCTGATTTTTTTGGGGGGGAGGAGGTATTTTGTTTTGTTGGTTGGTTTTATGGAAACAGGAAGAAATCACCTGAAGTCCTACCAGTCTACAATAGGACCGTTTTTTGGTGACCTTGGCATTCTTTCTGCATGTATACACCTTTTACTTTTTATTTTTTTAGTACTTCATAATAGCACTGCAATGAGAGTTTCACAGGAAAGTCTTTACAAATGTCTTTTACTAATCACATAGCCAAGGAGGGGCCAGAGGTTGCACATTTTCAAGGTTTTGGATGAGGTCTGCCTGACTGATCTCTAGAAAGGAGGTACCCATTTGTACCTTAGTATCTGAGGATGCCTAGTTCCCTAAACTCTTAGCAAGGTTAATTTTTTCAACCTTTGCCAGTTTGGCATGCTCACCTGATTCATAAAGGAACTAAAAGCACTCTTCTTGACATCTGCCATAGTTAAAAGTACATCTCACAAGACCTGCCCATCCTTGCATAGTGCTTAAGTCTTCCCAAAGATTACATGCAGCATTCTGGTACAACTAATAATAAGAGGTGTCACCACAGTAATTTGAAAAATGAAGAGCTTCGCTTCCTAGTAGGTGACCACCACATTCTGATGTACCACTTTGCTAAGCCCCTGCTATTCACAATAATTCCCAAACCCTTAATAAAGATTCATTCATACTATCCTATAATTAGTTCCCTTTGTCTGACTTTGAACTGTTTGACTTGAAGGCTAATGAGAACAGGACCATGTCCCTAGGCAAGCCTACCTTAAGATTTAACTACACCTTCCATAGGTCTGATGTGAGAGTGCTGGAGGAACTATAACCCCAATTTTACAGACATTTAGGTGAGTACAGACATTCAGAAAGGTTTAGGAAATTGCTCTGGTCAAATAGATGGTGACCTAGGATGTGTCTTGGTTTTTCAGAGTTCAGGCCCAAGTTCTTTCCTGCACCAGCTGTCTAATAGAAACATTCATAGTTATAAATTAATTTACTCTAAGCACATATTTTGTGAGGGCCTATTATGTGCAAAGAGTACATAATACTAGGTTTTGAGTATTCATGTGTGAATCAGATGTATATCTTGTCCTCAACGAGCTGAGAGGCTATTTGACTCAACATTTACTGAGGACATACATTATGCCAACTGTGTTCACTAACAAAACTTAGTAAGACATGGACCCTTCTCTCAAAGAGCCTATGCTCTAGTGGGTCTGTGTATATAAACTAAAAACATGACGTTGAATACTCAGTGCTATGAATATTCCCAGATGGCTTTCCTTAAAAGAATTTCTGCATGCGAGACTATACCAGTGTTTCTTTAGCTATTAAAAACCTCTAGGTAATAGTTCTGTCTGCATTGATTATGGAGCTTTTGACAGCAAGTAATAGATAATTCCTCATCAAGGAAGCCCAGCGTTAAGACAAGTTCTACATGCAATAATATAGGCTCAGTGATGCCTTCTAGGGCTCAAGTTATTTTCACCTCCAAGCTCTCCCTTTCAGGACTGATGCAGCCAATCATATACTTTGTTATTAAAGTCTTGCAGAGGACAGAAACCATTCCCAAGGCATGAGTTGTTGGGTTTTTTTTATAATCTGATTGAGCCAAGTTAGGTTTGTTTGTATTTTTATGAACCAATAATAGTTGTCAGCAGAATGCCTTATGCTGATTGGCTTAAACAGAATCCCTTCTCCCCATTTCTTGGACCCATGTGTAGAACAGATCATTAAAACAAAACTGGAATTCCGTTACAAGGAAGAAGAGGTAAATGGATATTGAGTAGGTATCCAATTTTCCACTAAACCATCTTGTTCCCTTCACAACTAGGTCATCCTGAATGACCAAGTTGAGTTTAGAGGAGCAATTCCTCTCACAGTTTACTCAAATTTTTGAGAGAATTATTATTATTATTTTAAAAATATATCTATTGATTTCAGAGAGAGGGAGAGGAAGAGAGAGATAGAAACATCAATGATGAGAGAGTTGTCATCGATTGGCTGCCTCCTGCGTGCCCCCAACTGAGGATCAAGCCCGCAGCCCCGGCATGTGCCCTGATTGGGAATCGAACTCCGATCTCCTGGATCCTAGGTCGATGCTCAACCGCTGAGCCACGCCCGGCCGGGCTGAGAGAAAATTATTGATGGAACATAATAAGTAGTCTGATGCTCAGTTTTCATAGAATAAGACAATCACGTTCAGACAGCTGTTGTCTGAAGAGAAGCCCTTACAGAAATCCTTAGGGAGCCCTGAATCTGGAGACGTTCAACTGCAAGTACCAGAATACCAGCTACACCTCCACGTCTGGAGGTTGCAAGTTCCAGGACTGAGACAATGGCTAAGTGATACTTTCAAGAACCGAGGCTTCTCTGTTTTCCTGTTCCTTACCCTTCTCTTCCTTAGGCATATCGTGTCTCCTGGCTATGGCAACTGCAATCATTACATCATCGCATAACTGTATTCAAGCCAGGATGAGAGCGCAGGCCTCCTGACTGTCTCCCGGGGAGTATACTTTGTCCCAGAAGCTCCCACGTGCACTTCCTCATATGTCATTGGTCACACGCCCACCCGCCAGCCTGTTGCTATCCAGGGGAATGGGATTTCATGCTTGGCTTTGACCAGTCTTATTTCAGGCCCTGGCAAGTCGGGGAGAAGCCCACCTTCCTTAACATATTGCTGAAGCAAAATCAGATTTTCATAAATTAAGGAAACTAAGGTTGCTACAGGATAGGCAACCAGTAGTGTCTGCCTAAGACCAACTTGGCAGTATGTGCCCAAAGCCTCTGTTCTATTTTAATATTTATTTTAGGAAGCATCCATCTCAAGCCCAGTGTTTCTCAGGTTCTGTGTGGTGAAGAACCAGCCTTAATGTTTTCCAACTAACTCACAGCCCGATACTGGGAAAATGAAATTAAAAAATAGATAGAGAAAGGTACTTTTAAAAAAGACACAGTACACAAGCCCAAAGTTTTTATTAAACTCAAAGGCCACAAGTTTCTCTGTCAAATGGCTATAAAAAATGTCTAAATACTCTTAATTTCAGTTCTTATCTCATCATGGACCAGTAACTGTTCGCAGACCACTGTGCTTCATGACCACACTTGGCGAGGCACTGTCAGCGCGCTGACTTCATCATCTGGTGCCTGCCTGTCCCTCCTGCCTCGAGTGCTGCTGCTTCCTTTGATTCACCTACAACAAGCTGCTGTCTGTTACCAGAATATGCCGTGTGGTTTTGTTTTACTTCTGGACTTGACTTCACATTCTGTTCTCCCTTCCTGGAATGCCTTCCCCGAGTCGGGGAACACCTACTCATCATTTTAGACCAGCTTAAATGTCACCTTCCTTGCAATATTTTCCCCCAATTCTTTGCTCCCCCATCAGTGTACTTATTTTATTGGATTGTTATTTCTAGGTCAGCCTCCCTCACCAGATCAAAAGTTCCCTGAAGGTGATAATTGTCTTGCTCATATTTATATCCCCTGTTCTTGGAGCACATCCTTTGCCCTAAATAAGTGCTTATTGAATTGAGTCCACTCAACAAATAAGACTTATGTTTCTCTCTTGTTATTCTCCCCCAAATATTTTTTACTCTGCTTCTGCCTGCATGTTTGTGGGTTTCCTTATAAGAACACACCATTTTGACATGCAGATTTTTCTTTCGTCTTCTATCAAGTCTGGGTTTAAAAAGAAATTACAACTTTCAATTGTGTATTCCCAAGATGGGCCCTATCCTCACACATCAACATCACTATCACCGCAACCAGCATGGGGTTTATGAACCCGTGGTGCATTCCAGCAGCGTGCCCCAATCCCCTATAGCAATCAATGAGCCCATATGTGGATACATATGATCTCCTAAAAATACCTAGCAAGGTGGTACAGCACAGAGAACATACAGTTTAGAGTCACAGTGACCTAGGCTTTAGCCCTTACCCATACACGAGCTCTGTGACCTTGGGCAAGTACCTTAACTTCTCTGAGCCTGGGATGACATGAGGAAACAGTAAGTGTTTGGTCAATGTTAGTCCCCTTTGCTGAGATGGGCACATGTGTGGACTGACAAGGAAAGCAGGCTAAGAACAGTAGTCAATGGGTTTGCCTGTCTCTTTAAAGTGTCGGGGCCAGCCTATGCTTCAGGCTTGCTGAGAAAGATGACTAGCTTTGAAATTCTATCTTGGGTTGCTTCTCTGTTCCTGTGCTCCTGATTTCTTTGCTCACAGCTGGCAGGGACAGCTGCATTGGCAGCTCAAGGGGTGCATGACTAAGGTGGAGGGATGAGCAGCTGCTGCCTGTTAGAAAGTGGGTGGTTTGGTTGGGAGGCAGGCATAAAAAGCAGTATGTGAAAATTCCCCCAGCCCCACCACCTAAATGGTATCACGGGTCCAAACCATTGCTATGATGGAGGCTCCAGGGAAGGCCTTTCCTTTCCCAGGCACTCTACCTCTTTTCCTTTACCACTGACTTTCTGCCCTCTTAACTTTAGAAAGGAGGGAATGCAATGCACATTTGTTGATTTTAATTAAGAAAAAACCTGACTTCCTTCAACATGCCATGCATTTTCACTCCTCTGTGCCTCACTGTTGCTGTTCTCACCACTGGAAATCTCCTCTCCCTCTACCTACCTGGACAATTCAAACCTTACACCTGGAATCAAACGTTAGCTCTTATGTCTTTCTCTATGCCACCTTTCTTCTAAGCTGCCACCTCTCTTTAAACTTAACCCAGTTGTGCATCACACATTGAATTGCCCTTGTTTTGTTCTGTTTTTTAATTTTATTTTTCAATTCCAATTGGCATTCAATATTATTCTGTACTAGTTTCAGGTGTACAGCATAGTAGTTAGATAATCATGTACTTTACTGAGTGGTCCCCTCGATATTTCTAGCACCCACTTTGCACCATACATAGTTATTACAATATTATTGACCATATTCCCTGTGCTGTACTTTACATCCCCATGACTATTTTGTAACTACCCATTTTTACTTCTTAATCCCTTCTCCCTTTTCACCCAGCCCTGCAACACCCTTTCCCTCTGGCAACCATCAGTCTATTCTCTGTATCTATGAGTCTGTTTCAGTTTTGTTTGTTTATTTATTTTGTTTTTTAAATACCACATATAAGTGAAATCATATGGTATTTGTCTTTCTCTGACTTATTTCACTTAGCATAATACTCTCTAGGTCCATCCATGCTGTCACAAATGGTAAAATTTTATTCTTTCTTATGGCCGAGTAACATTCCATTGTGTATATGTACCACATTTCCTTTATTCACCCATCTATTGGTGGAATCTCCCTTGCTTTTGAGGTATCTTTCCCTTGACAGAGTGAAGGCTCTTGGGAATCTTTGATTCTCTAAGTGCTTTGCTCATAAGCACTCATGAGTTGAAAACCTATGCTCCTCAGCATATTTGACAATTTCTAATTTCTCACTGACTATGGCAAGGTTATTAGAAGTATAATAAAAGCCCCTATGGATTGAGCACTTGAATAGTTCTGGAAGATGCTGGGCACACCCCCTCCCCCCTTCCCATACCTCAGGGGCAGTAGGAGTAATGGAGGTAAGGGCTAACCAAAAGCAAGGGAAAAACATCAAGGACTCATTTGGAAGCCAGAGGCACATTTCTTAGTATAATGTTTGCGTGTTCCAGATTTATTTCTTGGTGACTCAAAGTGGACCCCAGGTTCCTCCAGAAGTTCCTTGGACGTCATCAGACTTCTCGGGGGGAGTGTGGGGTTGGGAGTCATGGATCTAGTCCTGTATTTCCACTTACTGTGCAAACTGCTTGGGACACAGCAGTAAGTCCTGTAGACTTGGGTTCAAATCCTGATTCTGCCTCTGACATGCTACCTGTGGGAACTTGTTACCTCTCTGAGCCTCACATTCTGCCAGAGCTAAAAGGAGGATAATATTTATTTGGGTTGTTGCGGTGACAAAATAATATTTATGTAAAGTACTTAATCTAGGTCTGGCACTCCATAGCTATTTAATAGGTAGTAATTATTATGCTTTGCAGGTACTGGGGTGGGTAGGAGGATGGCCCGAGCATCTATACCATTGCATTAGCTATGACTAGATCCAAATATACACAGGGGAAAGTCAGCTTAGAACGCAATATGTCAAATAAATGCCTAGTGATATTTACAATGTGACTTAATAAAGGCCTGCAAGGGGCTTTCCAGTTCTCACTGTTAGGATTTTTTCTGATAATAGTCCCACATTTTCCTACTTTGATGTGCTCTCCTACCTCAGGAGAGCCCCTGACCCTGCGCAGAGAGAGCCCTGGACAGTGTCCTGCGTGAGTTGTGGTAAACGCCGTGCTGGCTTTTCCTGTGTTCCCCTGCCTGCCTCTCTTGCCCCCGAGGTCTTATCTTGTCCTCTGGGGAGGTATGTTAAGTGCCCTGCCAGCCAGCCTGTGTGCCTGGCCTGTTTTTTCTCACTGCCAGTACCTCTTGTATTCCAATTCCAAACATGGTATCCATCTGGGGTCACCCTTTCTTCCGGTGCCAAGAGAGACACATTCCAAATGGAACACAAGTGTGCCTCCTGTGCTGGGCTCCTCATTCTGTTTGGGAAAACAGAGCCGGCTGCAGCCCCTTCGCTGTCGCTCACTGCTGAAGTTCTCAGGCCCACAGTGCTGGCCTCTCCTCGGGACAAGTTAGGTTTTCTGCTAAGAGCCAAATGGGAAGACTGGCCTAAGAAATCGGGAGCCAGGAAAGCTCGCCAGAGCTCCGCCGGGAGGGCCAGCGCCTTGCTGAGGGAGAGAGGGTAAAGGCTTCAGCTTCTCCATGAAGTGTACTATGTCCTGCCATTCATTCCCAAAGCTCCCGGAAGCATTGCTCCTTGCAGAGGAGAAGCTGGTGGTGCGAAGCCAGAGGTGAGAAGACGCCTAGGAGGACAGACTACTCCGTTTTCGGAATTTCCTATGTGGGACAGTTTTGGAGCCCGGCAAGGCTTTGAGACGCCCCGAAGATGAGCACCAGCAGCAGCACGCTGGGCCAGCGTCTCTGGCAGGGGCCGGTGTGCGCTGGCTGGAGGCAGGATGTGGAAGGGGCTCTCTACCACCTGGCTAACTGTGTCTTCCTCCTGGGCTTCATGGGGGGCAGTGGGGTACATGGATGCTTCTATTTCTTCGGCTTTCTAGGCACGGGCTACGTGTGCTATGTGCTGTGGGGCTGGTTCAATGCCTGCGGCCTGGACATTGTCATCTGGAACATCCTGCTGGCAGCGGCCTGCGTGCTCCAGCTGGCACACCTGGTCTACCGCCTGCGCAAGGACACCCTCCCTGAGGAGTTCGAGCTCCTCTACAAGACGCTGTGTCTGCCCCTGCAGGTGCCCATGCAGGCGTACAAGGAGATTGTTCGCTGCTGCGAGGAGCAGGTCTTGACTCTGGCCACGGAGCAGACCTATGCCGTGGAGGGCGAGACGCCCATCAACCGCCTGTCCCTGCTGCTCTCTGGCCGGTAAGCTACTCTGTCACTGCCCACGCTTCTCGTTTCTCAGTAAGTCCCTTTCCATTTCATGTCCCTTTCCATTGAGGGAAGGATGTGGCAAGTAAAACACACCAAAATAGATTTTTCTAAGCATGGGTTTGCTTCCTCTTTCTGAGTATTTTCCCAGAGGAAACTAGATCATGAGGCAGCTTCTTGACTGGTAGGACGGCTTGTGTGCGCACTTGCTGCTGGGAGGTATCGGGTGAGTGCTTCCCAAGCCTGGGTCTGAAATGACCACACTCACCCCCACACCCCCACACACACCAGTGTGTTATGCCTAAGCTATAGCAGTAGCTCTGTAAGCTTTGGAAAACCGAGCATTTCAATAAGATTAATTTATTCCTCCCATGTCCATTTAACATTTGCCAAGCGCCCACTATGTACAGGGACCAGTGCCCAAACAGAGGGGTTTCCTGCAAGCCCTGTTCCCTGCCAGGGCATCAGGGATGTTGGGGATGTCCTGTACAGACTCTGGAAGAGCCATCTGTACACGCCCAGGTATGGCGAGGGAATGCCCCTTGTCCACTTTTCCATTCCCAGTAGTTCTAGTAAGTTTCTTACAGGCCAAGAAGTCAGGTACTGTAAATCTGAGGGCCAGAGGCTGAGGGGAGAATGGTGAGGCCCACATGTGTCTCGCTGAGGATTTGGTGGAGACGCCTGGCTGACTCTGTCAAGGAGGCTGACAGTCAGACAGGAGCAGTAGCGGTCTCAGTCAGGGTCAGTGTGTGCCCGACAGCCTGCACGGAGTCTCTGCTTCACATTTGGTAGGCAGTTGTGGAGCCTTAGTGGGACTTGATCTGCGGCTGAGCAGCAAATCTGGTGCACTGGTGCTGGCTCTGGAAAGCAAGCAAAGTATTTCAAAAGGCTTTGTCTTCAGTTTCCTCCTCTGCTTTCTTGAGGCCAAGAGAATGTGGTAGAAAAGATAAGCTAGTAATCACAAGGCTCTATTTTAAGGGGAAAAGAAATGAAGCCAGATAAGACTGCCAATCACACAGTGGAAAAATAGAGTTTGATGATGGTACTATAACTTCTACTACTAGTGATAATATGCATTTATCTATTAATGTTTAGAATAAAAAATGTTATATATATATATATATATTTTTTTTATTTTTTTTATTTTTTTTGAGTCAGAGGTCCTGGATTGAAAAAGCTATCACATTTTGTGGGGAGAAATTTTATTTTATCTGAGTGAACTGAAGTGTAAGCAAATGCAATTATTTGTAAACAAATACATGCATAAATAGAAATACATTATGACTATTGCCAAAATGTTTGCCACCTACAATTCTATGCTTAAAATAAAGACAATTTAGGAAATGTGCTCGTTCCTGAGATCCATGTCATTTGCTTGCTCCTCTTAACTCCTCTCTGTTCAAAGGAGGGAATTGAGACTGGTGGGGGAAATGCCCACTCCGCTTGTATGCTGCTCACTTATGGAAATATGTTATAATTATTGTATGGTTCAGGTATCCTTAATATGGTGGATCGACCATGAATTTCTATAAGACCACTTCCCTGTGAAGGGGAGAGAGGGGCTTGCTCTCTCAGCATGGCTTTTCTTAGTATACTTAGCATCGAAAACCCGAGTCAGAAATTAGGCCATTTTTATTTTTATTTCTTGCTTTTCAAGGTTTGGAGTAAGAGTTCTGTTTTGTTATTTTTCAATATCACCCTCTCAGTTTTGCTAGGTTGGAGCTGGGGAAGAGGCTTCTAGTCTACGAGCAGGCTCAGGTTTTACGAGAGGATCCTGCCCCTTTGGCTGGTTGTGGCGAGGCACCACGCACCTCAACGCAGCAGGCCAACGCTCCGCCAGGGAGGGGAATTTGTTGTGCTGCTCTCCCCACCCAGAGACAGACTCTCATCTGGAAACCGTTGCTGAAACCTCAGACATCCTTTTTGCTTTATTTTAATAAAGGCAAATCAGTCCCTTTCAAGACTTAGAAAATGACTTCCTCAAAGTTTATCACCCTGTTTTTAGCTGTGGGAGAATTTCTTAATAATTATTCAGAACACCAGTTCACACATGCACAGCCTCCAGAGCAGGCAACTGATTGTCTAAGATCTTCTGGAAAAGACGTTAGAAATGAACTTCTAATAAAATCATCAAATGTTATGGTTGACAAATTTCCTTGAAAGTCAAAGTCAGATATATAGTGCATTCTGGAAAAGAGGAGGGGCAAGACAGGCTCCGCCCACTCGTGAGTTTCCTCAAGTCTGTACCCACTCAAGGATGGAGAGATAAGGTGGCTTTCAAAACGGAGTATGCTGTTAACTGAGGCATTTCCTCTGCTGGTTAGGGAGGGCACAGGTGGGGAACATGTTTTCTAAACTACATGTAGGAAGTGGAATGTGGAATCACTCCGTACTCCTCCCCTTACGGGCTGTCCAATGGCTCATGAAGTTTTAAAAATGACTAACGAAAAAGGGAAACAAACAAACAAACACCTAGGCATCCCAGATTACTCTCCAGGGTGGAACTGGGGAGCAGCTTCAACAACCCAAACTAGTCTGTTACAGCATCACCGCAGGCACGCCTTGCTTTTAAACAACAACAACAAAACAACATAACAAAAACTAGCACTGGTTACTTTTCTAGCAATACGCAATTACACAAAATTAACTAGTACTGAGATGGGGGAAGGGGCCCTGCCTGTGGACCTTGTCTCACACCAGTGCATGTGGGTAAGTGCAGGGCCTTGGTCATTAATGCAAAACTGAACTTTTCATTTTTAGCCTTTAGTTTGATTTAGACATTGTTTTTAGTATGATGTTGACACCAGCTGTGCAGAAAGGGTGCTGGAGGGATGCTCATAGTAGCACACCCCTTTTTCAGTTCTGGAGGCTCCGGGGAAGCCAATATTGTTTCATCAAATACGTTCTTTAGACCTTTCTGTGTGAGTGCAGAACACTCCACATACATGACCGCCTTTGGGTCACAAGCCAGCTTTTTGGCAGTCTCTGGAATGACAGGTTTTTTGTTTTTTTTAATTGTTGACAGTATTACAGATGTCTCCCATTTTCTCCCTTTTTGCCCCTCCGCTCAACCCCTGCCCCAGCCCAGGCCTTCCCCATACTATTGTCTGTTCATGGGTTATGCATATATGTTCTTTGGTTAATCTCTTCCTGCCCCCCCCACCCCTACCCCAAGATCTGTTATTCTGTTCCATGCATCCACACCTCTGGGCCTATTTTGTTTGTCAGTTTATTTTGTTCATTAGATTCCACATATAAGTGAGATCATGTGATACTTCTCTTTCTCTAACTGGCTTATTTCACCTAACATAATAGTTTCCAGGTCCATCCATGCTGTTTCAAAAGGTAAGAGCTCCTTTTTAACAGCTGCATAGTATTCCATTGTGTAAATGTCCCACAGTTTTTTATACACTCATCTACTGATGGGCACTTGGGCTGTTTCCAGATCTTAGCTATTGTAAATTGTTCTGCTATGAACATAGGGGTGCTTAAGTTCTTTCTGATTAGTGTTTCAGGATTCTTAGGATATGTTCCCAGAAGTGGGATCGCTGAGTCAAACAGCAGTTCCATTTTTAATTTTTTGAGGAACCTCCATACTGTTTTCCACAGTGGCTGCACCAGTCTGCATTCCCACCAGCAGTGTACTAGGGTTCCCCTTTCTCCGCACCCTCGCCAGCATGTGTTGTTTGTTGAATGATGGTAGCCATTCTGGCAAGTGTCTGTTTGTCCTTGGCAAATGACAAGTTTCTCCATAGTAGAGGGGTCATCTCTGAGATCAGTTTGGGTCCCCAAAGCAAGAAAAGGAGTCTTTGGACAGTGGTGAGTTATCTCAGGCACCCACTGTTCTTTCACATTTTCAAATGAGGATGAAGAGACCACTGAAAAACATACTAGAAACACATCTGTTTGTGGATAACTCAGCAGCTGTAATCTGTCATAACCCTCTTGTCCTGTGGTATCAAAAAGCCCAAGAGTATAGCGCTCTACACTGATCATAACTGTGACTGCATAGTTGGCAGAAAGAGTTGGTACACACTCAGGTGGAAATTTGTTGTGTAGAATATCAGGAGACATGTTTTACCAACGGCACCATCTCCCACAACAGCACATTTAATTGTCTGCACTGCTGAAACAGTTTTCTGTGCACTTTAACTGTTTCAGATCCAACGATGACCTCAGCTTCTCCTTAGAGATCTTTTTGTCTGCTCCCTTTGCCTCATAGAGACACCTCCTTTCTTGGTATAACTCACTTTAGAAGGGAAGTTGAAGCTAAAACTCTGTGTTTTCTGGGGAAAAGAGGGAAAAACCCATACTGGATCATAATCATTTTCCATTTTTTAATGTCATTTAGACTTTGAAGAGGATTTGGGGAGCCATTCCCTTTTTCCCACAGTCTCTTTTCTCCCTTTGCCAGGGTTCGTGTGAGCCAGGATGGGCAGTTTCTGCACTACATCTTTCCTTACCAGTTCATGGACTCTCCCGAGTGGGAATCACTGCAGCCCTCTGAGGAGGGGGTGTTCCAGGTAATAGGGAGCCCCATGGCAGTACCACCCCGCTCATCCCACTGTAACCCAGCAATAGTCCCTCCCCCACCTCTCCCCTCTGACGTCCGTCCTTGGAGCCACAGCCAGTATGATGCTAGGGGGTGAGAGCGCTCTCCTTCTGTGCAAAGAACACCTGGGCTCCTGGAAGAGGGATGGGTACCGACCACTGACAGGTGGGTCATGTCACTCCTATGCCTAAAACCCTTCCAGAAGACCCCGGGGACCACAGTGTAAGAACCCATGCTTCTTAGAAAGTAATTTAAGACCTGTAGTGGTATCCAGCTTATCTCCCCCCCTCCCCCCCCACTCTTTGCTCATCCCAGCCGTACTGAACTGGAAGTACTGCTCTAAACACAGCACGCTGTTTTGCCCTGCCATGCCTTGGCCCCTCCTGCCCCTTCTACCTGAAATGCGTTTGCCCATCTAGATGAGGCTGTGGCATCTCACTTCCTGTGAAGCCGGCCCAGACTGACCTCACCAGCTTCCACCCCCAGAGCCTGTTGTCCTGCCTGTGTACCTTTCTGTTCCTTCTACTTACGCTGCCTGGTGCACTTATTACTCTCTAAGGATCTGATTTCCTCTCTGTCTTCTGCACAGTGAACTCTTTGAGGTAGAAAGCTGGGCTTCCCCTTCTCTCTATCTTCAGGATCTAAAGGACAGTCACTTGAACACAGTAGGTGGTCAATAAACATTGGCTGAACTGGCCTGTCAGTGGGCAGTTGGTGTCTCAGAGGACTCCATGGGGCATTCACATACACACCTTAAGGTGGGAACCTGGCTGCTTGTCCCCTCTTCTCTTCCCTGCCAATCCTCAGACTTTGCTTGCCTTCTTTGTAGTCCTCACTTACTGGATGGTTAATATGTGGCAGGCACTACATATTATATCATTGCCTTATTGGTTCTCACACAATCCTCTGGGCTAGATATTATTATTACCCCCATTTTACAGATGAGAAAACTGAAGCTCAAAACCATCAAGTAATCTGTCCAAGGTCATCTAGAAAGTGGCAAAGCCAAGCTGCCTGGCTCTACTATTTCTGATCTTTTTTAAAATGGCAGGGGCCCAGCCAGGCATGGCTCAGCAGTTGAGTGTAGACCTAGGATCCAGAAAATTGGGGTTCAATTCCCGGTCGGGGCACATGCCCGGGTTGCGAGCTGCAGCAGATCAATGACTCTCTCATCATTGATTTTTCTATCTCTCTCTCTCCCTCTCCTTTCCTCTCTCTGAAATCAATAAAAGATATATTTAAAAAAATAAATTAAAAAAAAAAATGGTAGGGGCCACCAGTAGGGTAGAGTTTACACACACACACACACACACACACGAGTTCTGTTACAGGGATTCCCCTTACCAGATAGTTTGCCAGCACTAGGTTCCATGTTTCTCCTACCGCTTTTATCAGGGAGCCTCTCAGGCTAGCATACGAGCCAACCCCATAATAGACACATGCCAGGCAGTACCACCTGGCTGGGCCTGCTTCCGCCCCACCCACCCTGACTCCTGGCTCTATGAGGACAGAGCCTGAGAGGTAATCCTGATCCCCCTGCCAGGACTACCAGCCTTAGGCCCCCTCTGATCAGGTTCCTACACACATACACACACACAGTGTTCTTCTTTGAGAACTCCCCCCGCCCCCACAGGGCCATAAGAACCTCTAGGAGGGCTGAGTCAGATCCTGAGCCAGCAGGAACAGGCTCAGTTTCTGACAGTGATACTGAGAAACAGGTGGTGGATAAGATGAGTGTCCTCCCCTAAGTTATACTTGAAAGGAAGGGCTATAACCCCAGATGACCTCGCAGCCTGGAATGTAGGTACCGTCATATTCCTCCCATTTATATTTTTAGCATGCACCTCATTTGGGATCAATGAGATCGACATGTTTGCTGTGTAAAGTCCCATTTCCTCTTTGCAAATGTCAAGTGCTGTCCTGAGTTATAGTTCATCTTGTCCTTGCCTTGAATTACAGCCTTTGTTGACTAAGGTGGCAATCCATATCCTGAACCATAATTCTTATCGCGCTTACCACAAATGAATGGACATTTCATCCCACCTCTCACTTTTTATTGGGCCCAGGGCCTCTTTCATATGTTATCTCATTTAATCAATTCAGCCAAACTCTGAGGTGAGAATTAAAGAAAAAGCTTGTCAAATTTACAGACATAAGTTAATAAACAGGTTTCTTGAAGATCTTTGGGGAAGGATTGTAGACAGAACATGAGAAAGTGACATTAGGTTGTTTAACAACATACGAGGTGGAAAATCTTCACCTGAATCATTCATTCACTTCAGTGATATGTATACTTACCATATACCAGGAATTGTTGAAGGTGCTTAGAATTATCAGTGAACAGAACAGATGAAGATTCCCTGCCTCCATGCAATTTATATTTTAGTAGGGGAGGGCAAAAAAAACCATAGATATAATGACTAAGTAAATTATATGATATGTTAAACAATCATAACTGCTGTTTAAAAAATTGAGTAGTGTGAGACATAGTTGCTATTTTAAATAGGGTCATGGAAATCTTGTTGAGCAGGTGACATCTGAGCAAAGACCTGAAGAAGGCGACAGTGTGAACTCTGTGAACATCTCGGAGAAGAACATATCAGAGAGAAGGAAGAGCCAGTGCAAAGGCCCAATGTTGGGAGGGGCTAGCATGTTTCAGCTACAGAAAGGGGGCCAATGCTGCTGGGATGGAGACAGGGAGGGGAGAAGGTAGCGGGAGGGGAAGTCAGGGAGGTTACTAGGAGCCACATCATATAGGGTCAGAGCATATATTTCCTAGATAGAGCCAAAGGATTTCCTAACGCATTGGATGTAGTGTGTAAGAGATAGGATTAAGGAAAACTCCAAGACTTTTGGCCTGAGCAACTAGAAGAAGGAAGCTGCAATCAACTGAGATAAGGAAAACTGTAGGTGGAGTTGGTTTGGGGGGCGGGGGGAGAAGTTCAATTTGGGATATATTAGATTTGTGTCATCTATGGACATTTAAATAGAGATGCTGAATAGGCAATTTATATTTGAGTCTGGAATTAAGGAATGAGGCCTGAGGTTGAGATGTAAATTTCAGAGTCATTGGCATACAGATGATATTTAAAGCTGTTGGGTTGGACGGGATTGCCAAGTGAGTGAGTTTAGACAGAGGAGGGATTCAGGAGCCAAGCCCTGGGATACTCTAGTGTTTAGAAGGTGAGAGAAAAAGAGGAAGCAGCAAAGGAAGCTGAAAGTGAGCAATCAGAAGATTGTACCAAGAGAATATGGTGTCCTGGGAATCGAGTGAAGTAAGTATATCAGAGAGGAAGCAGTCAACAGGGCTGAACACCAGGGAAACTGACCACTGCTACTTTGAGGTCATTGGTGACCTTACCAGGAACTGTGTTTGTGGACTGTTAGGGGCAACCCTTTACTGGTTTAGCAGAGAGTAATTGGAGAAGAGTTGGAGATGGCAAGTATAGACAACATATTTTATGGAGTTTTGCTGAAAAGGAGAACAAATTAATGGAGTGATGGTTCACCAAAGAAGTGAAGTGAGGAAAGAGGATTTTCATTTTTAAAATTTTGATTTATTTTAAGATGGGAGAAGTAGCGGCAAGTTCATAAGAATGCCCAGTCTTTAAGTTCGGCCCTAAGGACATTGTTTACGTCCATATTAGCTCTTCCAAATGCCCGCTTCTTCGGGATTCTGATTTCTTGTTTGGCAATTGTTAGTAAGCATATCTAAAGTACAGGCCATGGCGGACAGTGACCACTACTTGCTTAATGGTTAGCAATGAATGGATTGTGAGTACTTACTACTTTCAAAATTCCTCCTCATGAAGCAACATGCTCAGAGAGATTAAGTAATTTGTCTGATGTCACAGAGCTGGTAAAGGGGTAAATCTGGAAGCTTATACCAGCTTCTGGCCTTGATGAGGTGGTTTAAGACCCTATCTTTAGCTGATAATTAGGGAGAAATGAGTAAAGAAAATGAAAGAAGGGTACTGCAGGGGGAAAGGGAGAAGAGACAAAGATAATGGGAGCTCTGGTAGGCAAGGCAAGAACTATGAGGATTGTATAAAATCTCTAAGAAAGAATGTAAAGTTAACCTTACCTTTAATTCAATAATCCATATTCATAACTTAACACCACACCTGACAATTGAGTCATCTCTCAATAAATATTAGCTACTATCATCATCATGATCATTTCCATTGTCTCCATTTACAAATTTTCATCATGAACTCTGCCAACCTTCTCACTGTTAAAGTATTTTGGCCACTTAGCTTATTAAAAATTGTGTGATTCTCACCCAGCCAGGCGTGACTCAGAGGTTGAGCATCGACCTAGGATCCAGGAGATTGTGATTTGATTCCTGGTCAGGGCACAGGCCCAGATTTCTNTGAGCATCGACCTAGGATCCAGGAGATTGTGATTTGATTCCTGGTCAGGGCACATGCTGGGGTTGCAGGCTCGATCCCCAGTCAGGGGCTTGCAGGAGGCAGCCAATCAATGGCAACTCTCTCATCATTGGTGTTTCTATCTCTCTCTCTCCCTCTCCCTTCCTCTCTCTGAAATCAATAAAGATATATATATATTTTTAAATTGTGTAATTCTATACTATTGTCCTTCACTATCCTAAGCATGTTTCCACTTTAACCCCAGCTCTACCACTCATCATTGTTTTAACAAAGATTTATCAAGCACCTACTGTGTGCGGGACACACATTATTTACCCTGCAAGTGTAATTTAGCTTTGCATCCTGGGCACATACTGAAAACTCAGAAATTCCTAGATGACTAAATCAATGGAGAGTGGGGTGCCTTTTGACTTTGTGTTCTGAAGATTTCTTCATCCTGTGTGCCCTTTTTCTGACTTTAGTCATCAGATCTGTCTGGCTACTTGGAGTGGCCAAGTCAAGAGCAATTTCACAGACTTGAATCCCAGGCTAATGATCTGTCCACCTGCTGCAGCTTGGCATTCCTGATACCCAGGGAAGCTCTTCAACTAAAATGCTTTCCAGCTCCTCTTGCATCCCTATAGTATCCTCCTTTATTCTTTAAACAAGCTGTCATCACCATTCTGACCTTTCTTCAGAGCACTAGGAGCCCCTTCTCTCTCTTGAAGTTTCATCAGACTAAGACCCTTCTGTAGCCATTAGTGGCATCAGCCATGGGGCCATAGACTGTGAGAGCTGAGGAGGCCAGATGTAGACACTGAGGCTCCAAGAGGTGAGGGCCCAGTAAATGCATGGCTGATCCCAGGGCTTCTGACAAGGATATGTGCCCATCAGAGCACACAATTAAGTCATTCACTGGACCCCCTCCAGGCAAGGCCACAGGGGGAGAGGTGCTCCCACAGCTTCTTCAATAAAAGTGCAATTGTTTACCAAGTAACTATATATATGTTTCTCTCTGCTTAACATGAACATATTTTCTGGTTTAAATCTTCACTCTCTACTCCTGACCCCCCTCAGGTCACTCTGACTGCAGAGACCCCATGCAGCTACATTTCCTGGCCCCGGAAAAGTCTCTACCTTCTTCTGGCCAAAGATCGATACATCTCCCGGCTCTTCTCGGCCCTGCTCGGCTATGACATCTCAGAAAAGCTCTACGCTCTCAATGAGAAGCTCTTTGCTAAGTTCGGGCTGTGCTTCGACGTCCGTCTCCCCAGCCTCTATCACGTCCTGGGCTCTGCTGCTTCAGATTCAGGGCCGGAGTCCGAGAAGGAGGAAGAAGCCCATGAGCCAGCCGCATCCCCTCCTCAGGCCATGCCCACTTCTGTCCAGCAAACACCCCCTTGTACTCCCCCTCCAGCTGCCACCAATCCCCCTGCTCGGCCCTCCCGGGCCAGGATGTCCCGGCCTGACAGCGGCGTCCTGGGTGAGGACTCCACCAGTCTGGTGCTGGAGGATTTTGAGGAGGTGTCAGGATCAGAATCGTTCATGGATTATAGGAGTGATGGGGAGTACATGAGGTGAGGGAGAACTAACATGGGCACAGCCACCGGCTCAGGATCCCGTGTAAGTACTCAGAAGGCAGCTGCCACACCTGCCTGCCAACAAGTGTCCTTAACTCAGCTTATAAGAGCAAAAAAAAAAGCATTTCAGGAAGCCTGTCCTCTCAGAGGACTCCTAGAAAGTGGCGTTAACCCACCCTTGCCCATAGTAACGCACTGCAGGTGCATGCAGGCATGAGGGGATTTTCTAACTCGTCCTTTATTCAATGTGATTGCATTTTTGAAAGTGGCCTGGTTGACATTTTGAGCAAGCAGATAGGTTGCTAAATTTTTCGCAAGTTTATGCGAATAGCTTAAGGAGATTTTATTTGTGGCATGCATAGTGTGTGTGTGTGTGTGTGTGTGTGTGTGGCATGCATTTTATAGGGGAGAGAAAGCTGGCATGGCTCTAATTCCTATTGGTCTTCCTGGCATAGAGTCAGCTCTGGAAGGCAGTCATTGTTCAGCCTGGGTTGGGCAGTTATCTGTTAAAATTGCGTGTTTCAAAGAGGCTTGGGATCCAGGCTAATAACCCTGGGAGGAAAATGTGCCCACCTTGCCCTCCTCTCTCCTAGTAGAAAGTGTGCCCCTGGCTCAGGCAGGGCACTGGGTGCTGCTCTGACTGAACGTGACTGTGATCTGATGTGTATGCTGAGGGCTGATTTTCCCCGCAAACCACACCCGTGTGGGTGGAGCGGGCTCGAGTCTGGGAGGACTGACGGTACCTGCAGGATTTCCTTCGTAGATCAGAGGAGTCCCTGAGAAAGGCTGTACTGAGCAGTTCTGGGAACTGCTTTCATGTCCCCTTTGCTGCTCTCGCAATGCTGTGACGTTCTCCTCTGGGACTCCACACGCCCACGTGGAGGCCTGGCTTTTCCTGAGGAAAACACCACAGTTTTCGACTTAGAAGGCGTTTCCTAGTAAGGGGGGCAGGCCCTAAAAGACCATTCGTTCTTGGGGAAGCTCTGACAAATTTCCTGAGGAACTAGCTCAGGGAGAAAGGTTTCCAGGGTACACGAGGTGAATGAGTGAATGTGTATTTTGAAAAACAAGTTATATAAGTGATGAAAGAGGCAAGAGAGGTGAATGTTAAGAGGTTAGATATTTGGTTTTATAGGTTGGGATTGTATCATCTCCTAGGGTACCAGCATCCCTAGAACCATAGTTGAGCTAATTCTGGGGTAATTCCAAGGATCTATTTAACACCCAAGATCACTTTGTCGACCCACTTCACTTGCATTGTCCGTTCTCATGGCCCCTTTCCCGTTGTGCCGATGTTCACCTCCCTACCCACTCGCGCCCCCATCCAGGCACAAGGATTAGGTCCTGTGGGTCCCTCTTTCTCCAACTCACCCGCCCCCTGAACATGCTCTTAACTCACAGCAGCTCTCGGTGTTCACATGCTCTCCCTGGTCCCCTCCTCTTTTCCTGGCTCTGTCGGTTCTCTTACGTCTTCCCTCCTTCTGACCTCCGCTCAGTCCTCGGTTGCCCCAGTTTGCTGCTCTTCAGAAAGAGGAAACACCCTTTCCTCTTCTCAGTTAGTGTCCTCTCTCCATGTTCGTCCTCTACGTCTTCTCCACGTCGTTGTTCACGTATTGATCTTTCTGTGACCTTCCTTTTCTTCCCCCCACTTTCCTGCCTTCTATCTATTCTTCCTCCTAAACTATCCTGTACCCCCAACTTAGTTTTTTGTCCTGGCTCTTCCAAGATCAGCACTTCTCCCTCTGCCTATAAAGAAAACCGCTCGCCCTGGCTGGTTTGGCTCAGTGGTTAGAGCGTCGGCCTGCAGACTGAAGGGTCCTGGGTTTGTACCCAGGGCATGTACCTCGGTTGCAGCCTCGATCCCCAGGCCCGGCCTGGGCACATGTGGGAGGCAACCAATTGATGTGTCTCTTTCACATCAATGTTTCTCTCTCTCTTTCCCCCTCCCACTCTCTCTGAAAACAATGGAAAAAATAGCCTCAGGTGAGGATTAAAAAAAAGAAAAGAAGACCACTTAAGCCCTGCCTGGCGTGGCTCAGTTGGTTGAGCCTTGTCCCATGCACTGGAGGGTTGCCGATTTGATTCCCCGTCACATGCCCGGGATCCTGGGATCCCCGATAGGGGCCATGCAGGAGGCAGCCATCGATGTTCGCTCTCACGTCGATGTTTCTCTCTCTAAGGAAAAAAAAGAAAGAAAAGAAAACCACTTAAATGCAGGTATAAAAACTCCTAACTTTAGGCTGCTACACATTTCATGCAGAAGTTTTCCCAAACGTGGGCAGGCAGCGTGGTAAATAAGGAAGAGACCTGGACTGGGAGGCCAGAGACCAAGCTTCTATGTCTGGCTCTGCTACTTTTTGCAAACCACACGACCTCACTGAAACTTACTCTCTTCGTTAGACGAGTTGGCCCCCAAAGGCCCTCTTGGGTTTGTGAAAGAAGGCAAAGGGTGAGTTGTTCAGAGGAGGAAAGGGGAAGGAGTCGGTCAGCAGTGCAATGGACACAAGCCCCGGGCACGGGAGTGTCTTTCAGCAATAACTCTGCTATATTTCACTCCAGTTTCTCTTGTGTCGTAAGACTCTCTTCCTCCCTGCTGGGTGGTGGGTCCTGCTCTACTCAAGGTTCCCTCCGTTCTGTAGCTGTGGATTTTATCATGTGATGACAATGCAGATGTTCCATATGAAAGGAGGCCACAGCTGCCCCCAAGCTCCTCCACCCTTAATACTCTCATAAGAAATGCCTCTTTCCAAATTCCGCCATTTCTGAAGCTCAAGGTGAGAAAATTGCCAATATAGCTCACATTCTAAAGTACTAGTAGTTGCAATACAAAGAGAGTAGGTTTTTAAATGTTTGTTTGAGCCATAGAGAGAAAGGAAAAATCATAATTCTCTTGCAAACCACAGTCTTCAGAACAACCTGAAAACATGATCAAATTGGCCCAATTTCAGACGCCTTTCCGATCAGCCTGTGATAATGGTATAGTTTAAACCGGGAATCCCTTTCTGGAATTGTGTTTTGGGATGTTTGATTTGACTTATTTGCCATTAAACTCCTTCGAGGGTCATTACTGTAATGAATAAACATAGTCCCCTGTGACTGGTAGCAATTTGCTATCGTTTCCTTTATAAAATAAGGCACAGTTCACCAGCCATCCCCTGGCTCTTCGGTTACAAAATCGGAAGCTCATTGCTATTCACCCCAGCACAGCAGTTACATAAGGCAGGACGCTGGCTGAACTCCGCACGGTTAAGAATGACACAGCTTCATCACACTGACACCCGTGCTTGTCCCTTGTACCGATCCAACTGAACACCAGCTAGCCACAGTCAGAGCTCCCACTGCAGCTCTTTCTTGAAGAGTTCAATTTTTAGTCTTGAGGTGCCCAGAACTGAACCACAAATGGGTGCTACTTCTTTTAACAAGAAAAGCAGTGCTGCTGGATAGTGTATCCGCGCAGGGTCTTACAGCTCCACCCTGCAGTATCCCTGTCTGCACTGGAAGTTTCCCATCTAATGCCTGGATGCTCTCACAGTGTTCAATTTGGTGTCTTAGCTGTAGGAGATGCTCAGTGAATACATCTGCGAGGTGCTCAGTTAGGTCAAACAATGAGTCCATTATCATTAATTAATTGAAAGCTGTCTGAAATGGGGCTGATTTTGATTACATGTTCAAGTTGTTTTCAAAATTCTGTGGTTGGAAAGTAAAAACTATATATTGTTTTCTTTCTCTCTATTATTTAAACAAACAAACAAATGAGAAAGAGATTATAATATGGAGACTGATTGTGGTCAGGGAAAAATGTCAGGACCAAGACAGGGTACCAAAGGCTGGAGAACCAACTCAACAAACATTTACTGAGTATCCAGTATACAGATATTTCAGGGATTGTGCCAGGTAATCACATCCTGAGTAATCATGAGTAACAGTTGAAAGAACTGAAGATGTTTAACCTGCAAGATGGGCATTTTAAAAAGAGAGCAATGGAACAGACCGACAATTCTCAAAGGGAAGGTGGGAGTGGGTGGGAAGAGATTAACCAAAGAACTTCTATGCATGTATGCATGACCCATGGACACAAACAATAGTGTGGTGAANAGAGGACATCTGTAATACTGTCAACAATAAAGATAAATTAAAAAATAAATAAATAAAAAGAGGGGAATTAGAATTTGCCTTAATTTGGTGTGATTCTTGAGGATAAAAGATGTCTTAAAGGCTGAAAGCTATAAGGAGAAGGGTTTCAGCTTATTATTAATAATGGATTGCCTCAGAGAATAGTGAGTTACCCATCACTGAAAGAGTTCAAGCAGGGACACAAAGAAATCATCTCAGAGATTTTTAAAGGCCATTCTGGCCCCAAGAGAAGAATGCCTTAGGCTGTTGCTATTAAGGTGCCTTCTAACTCTGTGATGGTACGGTTCTGTGATTCTGAGATCTGACTCTAGTCCTGCCACTCAACCACCATCAAGAGCAGTTCCTCATCTGCAGAACAGGACCAATAGTCTAAGAGATAATTAATACCTACTAATAGGAGGTCTGCCTTACCAGGTTGCTGTGTGAGGAGTAATTGAGATAAAATATACAAAGGCAGTTTGTACATTGTACAGCACAAGTTTAATGCAAACTGTATTTATATGTGTGTAGAATTGTTTGGCCGTCTCTCTCTCTCTCTCTCTCTCTCTCTCTCTCTCTCTCTTTCAGATTTACATGACTTCCCCCCTTTATTTACCCCAGTCTGGCTTTTCAGGGAAGGTGGCCATTGGCAGAATCCCCTCACAACTAAAGGAACAGCAAAAAGGTGGAGCCCCCCCCCCCAAAAAAAAAGAAATGCACACTAGCTCCTCAGCAGCTGAATAACGAAGTGATGGCCAGGACTTCATCTGTTTTCCTTCATTTGCTTAGGAGGAGACAGGTCACACTATATTCGGGCTCTTTCCCTCTGAAGTGCTGCAAGGTGTTTGGGTAGCTGTCAGTGTTGTTAAACAGCACTTTTCTCCCAGAACCTGTAAAGACTCCTTGGCAGAAAATTTGCCCTTGAAGGTGACATGACAGGTGATGCTGGTGGGGGGGGTCTCAGGTTCTGGGTCTCCAGGTGGTAGCCCTGCTCTACCTGCTGAGGCTCCGCGCAGTCAGGTAAATCAGACTTACCTGCCCCCTGGGTTACAGTAGCCTGCAGTTGGTGTTCATTCCCTGGCTCTTCTTCTACTTATGTCTCACAGGCCTCATTTGCCTCTCTTTGTAAAAATAAAAGAGAGAGGTCTTATAAAACGCCCCATTTTTCTCGACAGAGTTTTTAAAAACTCATTCAGTAGTGTTAGGAAGTAAAGTTCTACAGCTTCTTTTTGGAGGCAACAGAAGTTGATCTCTTGGTCTCTTCACTTATAAATTGAGAGAATTGAACTAGATAACTTCAAAGCTGACTCATCCTAATGTTCTAGAATGAAATGATTCAAAGATACAACTGCACCTGAGTACAATTAAAACACTGGGAATTTTTAAAGGTTAAAAAAAAAAAAAGGTAAAAGAACTCTATGAAGTTCGGCAAGCTATTGGGAGCCATAGTGCTAAAATCCCCCCTCTTTTTCTTTCCACAGCTTCTAGAATTCCTCTCCAGAGCTACTCTCAAGTTAAGTCTACCAGACAGGCCCCCTTGGCTCCAATCCGCACTCCTGAACTTTAAGGATCCTTGGGATATCTTTTCTCTGGCCACGTTCACCTTCGAAGGAAGGTCCTGTATGCACCCCCTCTCCTCGCCTTCTGGGAGGCTCACAGGCAAGACTGAAGCACACACAGAGGTGCCAGCACTTCAGCTACACCAGGGTCCCGAGTGACAGATTCACCGTCGCCAGCTTTCCTGCTAGGAGAAGGCATCTACGAGGGCAAAAGGCACAGGTTCCATTCTTTACTAGCTTCAGAATCTCGGCCAAGTTACATAGCCTCTCTGGGCCTCATCTGCAAAGTGGGGACTATAACCCACCTCACAGGGTTGTTGTGAGGATTATGAGTTGATTTAGGTAAAGCACTGAGAACACAGCATGGCACCTAGTAAGCACTCAATAAACCACTCAGTTCCTTTCCCTGTGTTGTTTCTTTTAACCTTCTGAAAGGATGAGTGAAATGTCAGCTATCCAAGAAGTTCTCACTGTGTGCGTGTTTTTTAAAAAATTTAATTAAAATTCAATGTGTGGGAATAGAATTTTAAGTGGATTTAGAAATTTAACGTATTCTATTTTCTTTCTCCCCTAAATACTTCAACCTAGATTCCAATTACCTATTGCTGTGGGCATTCATCCCTAAAACAGTGACTTAAAATAGTTACAATACTTTATTTTGCTCATGAATGTGGGGCTTGCCTGGGCTCAACTGGGCTGTTCCCACTCAAGGGTTCTCATGCTGTTGTATTCAGGCAGTGGCTAGGGCTGGAATCATCTCCGAGGCTTCTCGATCATGTGTTTGGGGCCTAGCCTGGGAAGGCTCAAACAGCTGGACCACCTGGGGATTCTTGCGCATCTCTTGCTCTGTCAATAGTTTGTTCACTTTTGTTGCTGTAGAAGTACTATGTTGTATGAATATACCACAATTTATTTATCTGTTCTACTACTGATGAGTTTGGAGTAGTTTCTAGCTTGGGGCAACTGCTGTTATAAACATTCTTGCACATGTCTTTTGGTGCACACATGCATACATTTCTCAGGTATATACCTAGGCCTGGATTACTAAGGCATAAGTTCAACTGTAGTAAGTATTATCAAACAGTTTTCCTAAGTGATTATACCAATTCATATTCCCACCAGCAGTGTAGAAGAGCTCTAGTTGTTTCTCATCCTCCCCAATAGTTGGCATTTTCATTAAAAAAAAAAAAAATTGGCCATTTGGGTGTATGTAGCAGCATATCATGTGGCTTTAATTTTCATTTCCCTGAAGAATAATGAGGTCGAGGACCTCTATTGTGTTTTTATTTTCCACACACATATTCTCTGCTGTGCAGTGCCTGTTCTAGACCTTGTCCATTTCCCTGTTTGTTTGTATGCTCTTGCTTATTGACTTAAAGGAATTCTTTAGATATTCAAGTTAAAAGTTCTTCATTGCCTCTATATTCAAATATATTCACCCACTTTCTGACTCACTATTTTTCTCTAAATGATATCTTTTGATGAACATGAATTCTTAATTTCAATGTCATAATTTTATCACTTTTTTCTATCTTAGTGTGTTCTGTGTCTTGTTTAAGAAATCTTTTCTTCCATTGACGATATTTTTCTGTTACCTTCTAGATGTTTTGTTGTTTTACAAGTCACAGATCTGCAATTGACCTGGATTTGACGTGTGTGTATCTATGACATACGGATCAAATTTGTTATTTTCCAGAGGATATCCAATAGGCTCAGCACTATTACTGAGCTGATTATTCTACCCCCACTAGTGACCAGTGTCCCCTTTGCCATATACCCGAAGGTCTGTTTCTGGATCTTCTATTATCTTCCATTAGTCTGTTTTTCTATCCGTTGACAATACCACCAGTTGTAGCTATTGTAGCTGTATAATAAGTTTAATATCTGGTGATCTTCAAACTTCTTTCTTCAAGTCTTTGCTATTCTTGGCCTTGCTCTTTGTATTTCCATCAGCTTGTTAACCTCCACAAAATGATAAACTCTGTTGGGGTTTTTATTAGAATTACATCCACATTGTGAGTCAGGTTGGTAGATAATTGATATTTTTTAAATCCATGAATATAGTAGAGCACTTCATTTATTTTGGTCTTTATTTTTCCATTAGTGTTTTGTAGATTTCCATGTAGAGATCCTTGCACAGCTTTTGTTAGAATTATTTCTAGGTATCTGATTAATTTGATGCTATTGTAAATGTTATCATTTAATATTTTTTTGCTTTCTAATTTTTGGTTGCTAGCATGTAGAAATAGAATTGATTTTTGTATCTTCACCTTCTATCTAGTGATCTTGATAAAGTCACTTACAATTCTAATAATTAATCCATAAAGTCTTCAGGATTTTCCATAGATTCAATTATGTTATCTGTAAATAGTGATAGTTGTATTTCTTCATTCCTGACCTATGCATACTTTAATTTTCCTCTTTCTTCTTCATTTTTTTTTCATGCCTTGTTGCACTGGGTTGGACCTCCAGTACAGGATGACTAGCAGGGATGATGAAGACATCCTTCTCTCATAGTGAAATGTTTTCAATATTTCACTATTAAGTATGACATGTGCTGCTAGGTTTTTATGATAGCCCTATCAGGTTAAAGAATTTCTAATCCTAATGTTCTAAAAGCATTCTTTTAAGATCATGAACAAGTATTGAATTTTATCAAATGATTTTCTGCATTTATCTAGCTTATTTTTTTCATTTATTCTGTTAATGAATTACATTAATAGATATGCAAAAGTCAAAACAAACTTGCATCCCTGGAACAAATCTAATTTTATTATGATGTATTTTCCTCTTTATATATTTCTAAACTTGGTTTGCAAATATTTTGTTTAGGATTTTTGCATCTATGTATCTTGTAATATCATTGTCAGGTTTTAATATCAAGGTTACGCCGACTTTGTAAAAGGAGCTGGGAAGTATTCTTTCTCTCCTTTTTTCCTATTCTCTGGAATGGATCTTCAACCCAAAACAGTTTTATAACTCTTGAGTCTCATCTTGCCCACCTTACCGTCTGCTCTCTGTCTTTTTCTTCACTCAGTTGCCCATGCCCAAAATCTTGGAGTCTTTCCATTAGTCTTGTTAGTTTTGTTTTTGAAATATATCCTTGAAGGAACTCGAGATCTAGAAAAGGAGAGACAGGAGTTATAGGTCCCCTCCCCACTCCGCACCAAGGCCTTATTAAGTCAAGATCCTGGGGCCTGACCCCTCTAAGGATTAATCTTTTCCCAGAAGACTCCTCAATCTCTAGTGTAAATTGGCTTATTGTGGCCCATAAATAGTTTAAGAGGAAGCTGGGTCCCTGATTCACTATGTTAGTCCATTGTGGAAAACATAACATAAGTGGTTGAAACCAATATGTGACTTACAGACATTCAGCAGAAGATGTCCCTTCCTATTTCTGGGATCAGAAAGGGTTCATGACAAAGTTGACTTTGAGCTGTTAGGCAAGGCAGGAGCAATTCAGATGAAAGGAAAACTCTAAGAGTCCTGGGAGACAAGGGAGTGATACCTGGAGAGGAAGAGAACCAATGGCTCTTAGTGACCAGCTGTGGAATCTGAGTTCTGATTAAAAGGCAGTGGGGAGGGCTTGGCTCAGTGGTTGAGTGTCAACCTATGAACCAGGAGGTCACGGTTCAATTTCAGGTCGGGGCACATGCCTGGGTTTCGGGCTCAATCCCCAGTGGGGAATGTTTAGAAGGCAGCGGATCAATAACTCTCTCTCATCATTGATGTTTCTCTCTCTCTCCCTCTTTCTTCTTCTCTCTGAAATCAACAAAAACATATATATATATTTTTAAAAAGCACTGGGGAGTGATCAGGGAAATGGTGTACTCAAAGCATTGCCGAGGTAGCTTGTATTCAGTGCATACCACAGAGTAGCTGTTTCATAAATATTCATGATCTGAAGGGCTTGAGTAGAGAAAACAAAGCAAAGAAAACAGTTGAGATGATTGAAATGCTCAGCAGGATTGTGAGGCACCAAAGAGCAGAACATATGTTGGCTATGGGAACACAGAGGCAGACACCTAGCAGAGACCCTGGGGAGAATTGTCTGTACCTTAGAAGTCTGTACCTTCTTCCCTTTATATTCTTCTTCTTTTTAACTCTAACCTGAGGGTATTTTTTCCATTGATTTTTAGAGAGTGGAAAGGAGGGGGGGAGAGAGAGAGGGAGAGAGAGAAACATCAGCGTGAGAGAGACACATTGATTGGTTGCCTCCTGAATGTGCCCTGGCCAGGCCGAGGATCGAACCTGCAAGCAAGGTCCAAGCCCTTGATTAGGAATCAAACCCGGCTTTTGGTCCAAGAGCTGACATTCTAACCACTGAGACAAAACAGCCAGGACTCTCTTTCTGTCTTTAAAACCCTCACCTGAGGATATGTTTTTATTGGTTTTTAGAGAGAGAGGAAGGGAGAGAGAGAGAGAGAAACATCAATTAGAGAGAAACATCCATTGGTTGCCTCCTGTAGGTACCCTGACCAGGGATCGAACCTGCATCCTAGGTGTGTGCCCTGACCTGGAATCAAACCTGCAACCATTTGGTCTATATGACAATGCTCCAACCAAGTCACTTAGCCAGGGCATCCCTTTATATTCTTGACATCCTGGTTTTCTATAGACTCCCCCACGGATCATGTTTTTTAAAAAGAAATTTAGTGCGGCCGGGCATGGCTCAGCGGTTGAGCATCGACCTGGGATCCGGGCGATTGGGGTTCAATTCCCGGTCAGGGCACATGCCCGGGTTGCGGGCTCAATCAATGACTCTCTCATCATTGATGTTTCTATCTGTCTCTCCCTCTCCTTTCCTCTCTCTGAAGTCAATAAAGATGTATTTTAAAAAATAATAAAATAAAATGAAAAAGAAAAAGAAATTTAAGTTATTGATTTGAGAGAGAGAAAGTGAGAGAGAATTGATTTGTTGTTCCACTTAGTTACGCATTCACTGGTTGCTTCCTTTATGTGCCCTGACTAGAGGCCGAACTTGCAACCTTGGCATGTCTAAGCAATG